AAAAAGGAACTACAACGCAGACTATACGTTAACCCCACATAACCTGCCTTAAGGACTTCTAAAAAAAAACGCAATCATAATAAGGAGCCCCAAAACGCTAGGTTTCATAGGGTCCAGGTAGATACTGGACGTCTTGGATGCTGGGCCCCCTGCCCGCTTTACCAGCTGGAAGATCCCAAAGCTGGGCCTTGGGTTCAGGGTTTAGGGTTCAGGCTCAGTTTAGGGTTTAGGTTTAGGGTTCAGGGTGTAGGCTCAGTTTAGGGTTTAGGTTTAGGGTCTATATAGGGTTTAGGCTCAGTTTAGCGTTTAGATTTTTAGGGTTTATATAGGGTTTAGGCTCAGTTTAGCGTTTAGATTTTTAGGGTTTATATAGGGTTTAGGCTCAGTTTAGGGTTTAGGTTTGAGAGCTTATAGGGTTAGGGCTTTTCGGGTCTAGGTTGTGAACGAAAGAAGCTCAAGATTCAAGCTTCGATATGGGAGTTTCCGAAACTAAGGGGTACCTCATTTTGGGGGTCCTTAGAATAAGGATCCTACTATTTAGGGTACTATATTAGGGTCCCCTATATTCGGAAACCCCCAGATGTTTCGATTGTGCACCCTCTCATTTTGCGACCTCTCCGCGATTTGCAGAAACGACCATAACGTCGATGTCCATCGGACCAATGGCTGGAAACAACAAGAACTGCTTATTTAACTTCTGACGTTCGTCGTGCAGCGCCTGCAGAAATGCACGATACCCCAACGTGTGGCGGATGTGTCCTTTTATGTTTGACTTGTTGTTTCTTTCCAGCGGAACAAGGCAAATATACGTGTTGATGTAGTCGTTATAGATCTTGCGTGCTGTCTTTCGGTGGTGTCCGTTTCCACGCAGAGCGTTCCGTTTTCATGACATGAGCTCACATGAAACATAACGTTCGAGACCAGACACGCGTGCAAAAGCATGGTACTTCTAGGGCCCTCACTGCTGTGCGTGCCGCACTGGCCCGCTTGCTTCCAGGGATTGCCAATTTCGGCCTGAACGGGTTCGAGCTGGGGGCGACAAAAGCAGGTATTGGTTCAATGAGTGCACCTTCCATGTGCATGCTTTGTACATGTATACAGGCGCAGCAAGCAGCAATGTATGATGTCAATGTGTGTCGTTTTAGTCTGTCGGAGATTTGGCAAACCCGACCGTTCCCCTCAGCTTCACGCGGGCAGGCGGCTCGGCCGGCCATGGTGCATCATGGGAAATGCTGCGGGCACGGACGCGACAAAGATGACGAACAAACTCTTCGAAATAGCTCACGCGCGGTCTTGCTGAAAGCAGCAAACTTCGGCTTGGACCAAGTTTTAGGCAGTTTTTTGGGCAATACAGTTTTCGCAGTGAGCTTCTGGAGGAATACAGTCTCGACTACTGCTTTTGCAGAACGAATGACAGCTTCGACTGCAAATTTTGGGATTGCTTTAACCTTTAACCATTACAATGCATGACAGAGTGTTTTTTGTGGGTGAGGTCCGGCTTCCAGGCGACAGGTTCGAATTGGGCCACAAGAATAACGCAGCTTCGCCCACAACATGTTTGCAGAATACAGCTGCAGCTTCTACGATACAGTATGGCGCAAACAAAGAATAACAGCGCCGCCAGACATTCATACCGACCCTATTTTGCAGGAAGATGCCTCGACCAAATTTTCCCTAGACTCCTAAATTGGACCCGAACCCCATCACGGACCCGTGGGAAAATGGGACCGGACTAACCCGAACAGAAAGCTGTACCCTTTTCGCCACTCGTGGAATTAACAAACAAAGTCGTGATATCACTGGGCGGATCGGGGGAGGGGGGCACCTGCAGAACCGCATCAGTCTACCTCAGGGCTTGAAGCTGGCCCCTGGACCAGGCTGTGCGACGTAGGATGCATGCGATTGACGGAACTGTACGACGAGCGAGGTCAGGGTTAAAAGTCAAAAGCAGGACGGGCCACTTGCATCGGCTCTGCCCTCTATGAAACTCCGTGTGCCGATTAGGTTTCGCAAAGTTTCAGTTCTGGACTGTGTTCCACAGCCGGATTCATGGCCGAGGCGCCTCGCCGCGCCAGCTTAGCAGAGGCAGCCGGGGAGACCGCAGGCCTTTGGTTGGAAGAATTAGGCTTTAGGGCTTTAGGAGGTGAGCCGAAGTTACGACAATGCCCCATGACCTTTTCAGCAGCTCGGTTCACGTCGGTGTGACTGATCGCAATGGTCCTGAGGTTTGGCGGTTGCTGACTAACACGTATGCACCCAGATAAATTCCGTGGCCTTGCGCTCCTTAAGGCCCTGATGGCACTGCCCACCTTCAGCAGAGACCGCAGCGTGCGGGAACAGATTCATGGACTGGAGCGTGTGGCAGACGAATACCAGAGGGCGACAGGGAGGCAGCCGGGCGAAGATGTGATGTTGGGTACTTTAGTGCGGTGTCTTCCGAATGCCATAAAGCAACATGTGCAATTGCAAATGGCAGACACCAGCACTTACCAGAGCGTCCGAGACTACGTGCTGGGGTACGAGCTGACAACCACGTCATGGACCCCGGCCAAGATGCACCAGGCCTTCGGTGTCGTGCCAATGCCGTCAACTGCCGACCAAGGCCCAGTTCCCATGGAGGTTGATGCGCTTCAGAAAAAGGCTAAAGGCAAAGGCAAGCAGCAGAACACAACAACAGCAGCAACCTGGCAAAGGCAAGGACAAAGATGGCAAGCCTCAGAAAGGCAAAGGCCAAGGCAAACAGCAGAAGGGTAAAGGCGGTGCACAACAGCAGCAGCAACCTGGCAAAGGCAGCCGTGCCAATGTCGCACGCCACAACTGAGGCAAGAAGGGTCATTATGCCAACGAGTGCTGGAACCCTCGCGTGCAGCAAGTTCAGAGTCAGTCCCAAGGATCAGACGCGGCATCCACAGTTGGCGTGGCTGGCTCTGTAGGCCCATCCGCGTCGCAGGTTGCACCAAGCACATATCATCCACCCAAAAGCGTGTTGCGAGAGTCGAGATTGACATTCGGGGTCAGATGAACCGTGGTCAAAGAACTCCCACTATCGGAGGCCCTGTGCCGGTGCCGACGGTTGCCCCGGTGATCTGCCGGCTGCAAAACAGGTGGTATCAGCAAAGGTTGCAGCCAAGCCGGTTGATAAAGCCACGCCCAAGGAGAAGAAGTGGCCCCCGGCTATGAGGCAGCCCGCGATTTGCTTCTACCGCCAGCGGTGACCTTACTCGGGATCCCCTCCATGCTTAGAATGCTTAGCAAGGGGGCAAGAAGGTCCAGGACCTTTCGCTTCAATGGCATGGCCGCTGGGCCCTGCTGGTGTAGGCGAAGTCCTTTTGGGAAGTGGGCCTCTGGCTGAGACAGCTTAGGGCTCTGGGACCTAACGTCCTGTTACGGATACCCATGGAACAAAATGGCACTGATCCATACCAAACAGCTTGGGAGACATCCGACATCAAGGTCCTTCACTCCTGCGTGCCCCAAAATCCAACTGTGTCCCAACACCGGCAGGTCTCGCAGTGGCTGCAGCTGGACTAGTATGCAGTCACAGAACGGTTCACCCAAATCACTACTCCACATTGCCTGAAAGGCGAAGTGAGCTCTGGGACTTTGCTGCCTTGGGTCCTTGCTCTCGGGACGCGAGAAAAGACATCTCCTATATATCTCTTTACTTTTTACCAGCTGCTAGCAGCTGCTAGCTCACCCCTTTGAGCGATTCGGTAGGCCAGAGGCATACTTGCCAGCTCAGCTCCCAGCTCGCAGAAACAGCGGCCATGGAGTTCTTGCCGCGTTAGGCACCAGAGCTTATAATTAGCCACTGCAGCCAGTGCAGCTTCGCAGGGCTTCGCAGGGCACAGGCTCAAAAGGCCGCTCAAGCGGCAAGAGCCGGTGCTCGTGTGACTTTGGCAGCTGAAAGGGCGGTCACCGCAAAGTTGAACGCGGATTTGAGGCAAAGCCCACTGGCCTGAAACGATAGCAGCTGCTGTCAGGATACTGTCTGCCAGATCCACGTGCACAAGGTGCTGAACCAGGCGGCTACCCCTTGGAGGCAAGCTGGACTTTGCAAAACCAAGCTGCCGAGCAAGCTTTATTGCAAACCTTCTTCAAAAGTCCTACGAATTTTCGACACATGCAGGACTGCGCTTGAAGCAAAGCTCCCGATGCCCTTGTTGCATAAGGCTCCACAGCTTAGTACGCGACCAAAATGATGCAAATCTCGAGCCTGGTGTCCGGAGGATGTCCTGTGGGCTTGATGCTTTCGGTTACGCTGAGGCCAAGGCCACAGAAGCATGTGGAAGATTTGAGACGCAGGACTTCTGGCTGCCTTACGGGCCTTAGCTCCATGCAGCGGCTCCCAGAGAGGCTCGAGGCTGCAGACCATGCGTTGTTCTACTCTGATGACATCTCCGGCCACTCGACTGCTTAAGGGGGAGTGCCATGGGAGAGTTCAGCGTCGTAAGGGTGACATACAAGTTGACGTCACTCAGCGCCGCCAAGTAGGCGCACCCATAGGTACCCTTATAGGGGTTTATATAGGGACTATTTTTTGGGGAGTCACTTCCCCGCTCCCCTTAAGCACCAGCAAGTCGACAGCCCATCTTAGCTTTGGCCAGCTTTAAGCGGAAGTTGCCGTCTCAAACACTTGGGCCCTCTCGGTGAAGAGACGGCTGTGTAGACCGGGCCACAGCAGATGCAAAGCAAGCCCCCCCACGCACGGCATGCGAAGATCCTGGCGATGGGAGTCACTGGAGCCGGTGACGAAGGCAAGGTGCTTCCCAGAGCAACGTGACAACCGCTCCGCCACGATGCTGCCTCCGTGCAGGCCAGGGAAACCGTGCCACGCAGCCACGGCGGCCCTCGACCGGGCCCGCGTGGAGGGCAAGATGGCACTAGCATTGCTGCAGCTTTGATGATGTGTTTTCTGAGATCTTTCTCTACGCACCCTGCTCTTCCCCCAGCCCATACCATGCTTTTCATTGTGGAGGAGAGGAAACAAACCCAAGAGGCCAGATTGCAAGTGAGCCAAACCCGGCAGAAGCCCACCACTCCACACCTACATGGGCCCTTTTTGCCTCCCTCAACTCTTTGGCTTCCCGGAAGAAAGGAGGAATCCAGTGCAAAGGACATCTTCGCGACCTCGAGCCGAAGCCTCAGGAGACGGCCTGGTTCCCACAGGCCCAATGAAAGCCGAAAGGGCCTGCGAGGCCCGGAGGGCTTGTTTCCCCCACAAGAAGGCGCCCTTAACAGGGATCCTCTTAAAAAGCATGACAGCTTGGGAAGGCCCCGTCGGGAAAGTATGTCTAGGGCCTTGGTCATGGAAATCTGAGAAGTGCTTCCTGCCGGACTTTGGCTCTTAGAGGCTCCAGACTTTGGCTCTTAGAGGCTTCGGGCAGTTGCCGCGACCACAAAAGGCGCAAGCGCGGCTCTTCCCGCTCGGAATGCGGTCAGCTGCTGTTGAGGCGCTCTTCCTCGTTTTCCGCTGGTCAGCGACACAACTAGAGCTTTTCTTGCCTCCGAGACATGTAAGATAGCAATTCTAAACATCTACCGTTGTGTGGCGCAAGCCCTGACGCCTGTGGCGAATGCAGGTATCACCGCCCGCCACCGCTCACGACCAAGAGTCCCAAACTACACGCAAGGTCACGGTGCAACTCTCTCATACGGGAAACCCTAAACCCTAAACCCTACAGGTATAAGACTTCAGGGTAGCTGTATCACGGCTTTAAGGCTCTGGTGGCACATGCACCCCAACTCAGAGCCCGGATCACAAGGGAAAAGCAGATGTTCGAGGCCCACACCGCTTCAGGCTGGCTTAAGAGCCCTTCATGGGCCCCGACAGTCTCCACACAGGGCTGGTCGCAAAAGCCCGAGAAGCCCGAAGAGATCCGAGCCTGCAAGGCGCTTTGGCACACCGCGGCTGAAGCAGCAGATTCAGCAGACCTGCAATCCAGGGAAGGAGGCTTTCAGCCTCCACGGGCTCGGGAACAGCGGACATGGTCAGGAAGAAGCCCTCTTCCTCAGCTCGATACCTGCCGGAAGCACTTCAGAATCCAACTTGGCAACTGAGATCTCAGGCTCCGAAGGAGCTCAGGCTCTGATCAGAAGCCCCCTGTTCAAACGGCAACAACCTCAATGAGGCTGACCCAGGACTATCACTCTTAAAGGCTGTGCATCTGCCCGCCCCTGCCTGGGCACCTGGGTAGGCACGGAGGGAGCGGCAACACGAGGCTCTCAGCGAGATGAGACCTCGCACAGCCTTGCGGGGACCCTGATGCCAAACCCAGCGGCGAATGCTCAGTTGGGACACCATGGCCACTTCCTGCATGATTCCGCAGGGCTCCAGCACGACTGCAACACGGCCAATTGATCGAGATGGTGAGTCCAAATTCTTGCCGCGCACTGCGAAACGCACAGAGACAGCGGCGAAGGAAGGAGGAGCCTTCAAATCAGGGGCCCAAGCTTTGGGGTGCTCACGTCGACAGCAGCCAGGATCAAAGCCCACGCTGCCACGTAATACAGGGGCCTGATTAATTAGACTAATGGGGCTTTGGACTATATTATACGAAAATTGCAAGAAGGAACCCGGGGCCTAATTAATTAGAATGGGGCTTTGGGGTATATTATACTAGAATTGCAAGAAGGAACCCCCCAAAAGTGGGGAAAAGAAGCCACGTGGCAGGAAGCCCGAGCCGGAGTTCGAATCGAGCGAGTGGAAACTCGCCGGTGCACAAAGCGGCTCAAGGCCCGGAGCCTGGCAACACGCTCTCCCGCACTACACAGATCCCATAAGGGGGTTCCTATAAAGTACCCTTTAGTACAGGGTCCCAAATTGGGGGATCGACTGTTTAGATCCTTCCGGGGGTCGGGGTTATAGTACATCAGAAAGAGGCCAAGATCAACTCTTTTCAGGAGCCGAAGCTGAAGCCACAAAAAACAGTGCTGCTTGCCAGAAAGCCCGTCCATACTCTTCCCTGGCTTGCGTGGCATGAAGCTTGGTTGCTTGGCCAATCTCTTCGCCGCGCCTTAGTTTGACCCAACAGCTTGCAACGCCCAGTCATCAGGCTCTTTGTCGGGAAGTGTAGTTTCGACCACGAGCGCGGGACCCGGCACCCCAGGGTTTGCCTCTGTTCGCGAGAACACAGAGATCCATCCACTACTGAGCCACACCCACACCCACACACCACATCACCCACCCACAACTACCACACCCACACCCACGCCCACATCCACCCGCATTGCCTAGAGGTTTTCTTGCCATGGATCGCTTTGTTCGATAAGGGTTTAGAGCAAGAAGACCGATATCCTTAGTCAGCAGACCAGATGCGAGAGGAATGTTTTGACCCCACTACCCCGGCTGGCACCGCGCTGAGTTGCTGCAAGGGATCGGACGGTGTGATTCAGTTTGATCATCGAGGGTCCTCGAGAGGATTCACGAAACTGTCACTGCGGTCGACTCACGTCGCCGCGGAGGTTGATGATAAGCAGACCTCAGCCAGCCCGCCAGGGACCAGCCTGCATGTTGGAAGAGCACCAGCCGTGTTGGCAGATTATCCAAGATCTGTGCCCGGAGGACATGCAATTGAACGCCATTGGGGAGCTTTGAGCTCAGGACGGGAATCCTTGGGCCTGTCCCAGCCTGGATCGCTGCAATCTTTGTGCCCCCGTGTCTTGAGCTGGACAGAGCCGCATGGTGTGTCTGTGCCCCTGGACCTTCGTCGACGTGGAGACAGAGAATCACAAAGGCTGGCATATTCTAGGTTAATAATAATGTGCCAAGTGGCGAGATGTCTGGCGCGGCTGACAAGGGTGAACTCCCGAAGCCACCACGAAGGCAAGCTCTTTCGGGGATTTCCTGCTTCTTCCCTTCTCTGTGGCGATGCAGTACTGTCAGCAGGGCATCTGAATAGGGGGGGCAGATGAAGCAGTCATCCCACATCACACTCATACGAGGTTCAGGTGAGCTTAGTCGCCGTCATGGTTCCCAAAGAGTGTAGACAACAAGCGGTTTGGAACCGCTTGCGTCCTCGGCAGGCTGCAGATGCATGTAAGCGAAGAGATCTGGTGTGGTCTTGACATATCCCGCAAAACCAAAGCCGGGACTGTCAAATTGGTCATGACGCAAAGCTTTGGCAAAGCGCGCCACCCGCCTCTTAAGTCCACGTTGCGAGACAACGAGCCTGGACTGAGGGTGCAACATCCAGAGGCCCCAAAGTAGTTCCTG